CCCGTACTCCTCGGTCCCCATCGTAGTCCCCGTTCCCCCCGTACCCCAGCAGCCGCCCCGGAGAGGGGCCCCGCTCCCGGCAGCAGCGCCCGTCGCTCTCGGTGTCGCGCCGGGACTCACAGAACCGGGACACGATGGAGCCGTTCCGCGGCGGCCCCGGGCAGGTCCCGCACACCTTGAGGGGGTCAGGAGGGCATGGGCAGCGCCGGCACCCGGGGCAGCCCCCGACCCCGGGTAACCTCCAATCCCCGGGCACCCCGACCCCCAGACAACCCTCGCCCTCGGGGCAACCCCCGACTTCCCCGACCGCCGGATACCTCCAAGGCGGTCACCCTAAGGGCAGCCCCGGCCCCCAGTTCAGCCCCGAGCCCGGGGCAGCCGCGATGCGGCCACCCCGACCGGGTACTCACCGACCCTCGGTCTCCCCGTCCCGGGCACTCCCTGACCTCTCGGCACCTCAGATCTGGGACATGCTCCGCCCACCCCAGCCTCCCGCTCCCGTGCCCCGCTGCTCACCGCGGCCCCGCGGGCGCTCCGGGGCAGCAGCAGCAGCAGCGGCAGCAGCAGCGCTACCCCGCCCATGGCGCCGGGCACTGCCCCTCCCCGGGCCGGGCGGCCTCTGGACCAGAGAGGGGTCCCGTGTGGAGTGGGCAGCGGGGCGCGGTGACCGCCCGGGGCAGCGGGGCCGGGACCGGCAGCGGGGGAGGCAGCGCGGCTTCGCCCACAGGGCGGGCGGTGACGCCATCAGAGCGCGCGGGGGCCGGGCCGAAGCGGCGCCGAGGGCGATCCCGCCCTCTTGCGTCATCAGGGCGCGCCCCGCCTGTCAGGCGGCACGTGGGACACGCGCCGCCACCGGTGAGTGTCATACCGGGTCCGCCGGGACAAGGTCACCGCCCGACCCCACACCGCACCGGGCACTGCGGGCACCGGGCTGGCGGCACTGGGGTCACCGGGGACGGGGAGCACAACCCCCGGTTAGGGGCACCGGGGACGGGGAGCACAGCCCCCGGTTAGGGCACCGGGGACGGGGAGCACAGCCTGTGCTGCTCTGACTGCGGCACCGGGGCCACCGGGGACGGGGAGCAGAGCCTAGGCTGGGGTGGCTGGTGTGACTGGGGCACCGGGGCCACCAGGGAGCAGAGAGCCCGGTTAGAGGCACCGGGGATAGCGGAGACGGGGAGCAGAGCGCCCGGTTACAGGCACCGGGGAGAGCGGAGACGGGGAGCAGAGCACCGGGGGCAGGGAGCAGAACCTGGACTGGGGGCACTGGGGAAGGCAGGCTGGGGACAGCAGGGACAGGGCAGCGGGTTCACCGCTCGGGGACACGGGGCACCCCGGGGCTGGAGAAGCGGCGCTGGGAATGCTGAGTTTCGGGGGAACACACCGGGATCGCCCAGGGAAGGGGGCCGCGGGACCGCGGCGGGATCAGTGGGTGACGGGGACACGCGGAGCGCCGCGGCTCTGGGTCGCCGGGTGACGGGGGCGCAGGGGTCACCGGGGCTGGCGGCAGCGGAGCCTCAGGGACACCGAGAGCCCCCGCGGCACGCGAGCCTTGGCCCGGGGCCGGTGGATGCCTCTCGGGACGCGGTGCCCCCGCCCGTGTTTAGTCTCGGCTGGAGAATGCAGGGGGTGACCTTGGACCCAGTCCGGGAGCTGCGCGGGGACGTGTCCCGAGCCGGTGGCGGCGGAGGCGCTGCCCTCTCACCTCCTTCTCCGCCGGGACACCACGGCTCTGCCGCCGCTGACGGACCCCCGCCTGGCCCCCGGCGGGCAGGCCCGGGCAGGCTGTGCCGGGGTGCCAGGAGGGCTCAGCCTAATCCCCCCAGGCATTCCCCCGGCGAGCATTCCAGCGGGGATCACGGTGGGCACAGTGCCACCCCCAGTCCAGCCCTGACCTCCTTGTGCCCCTAACGCTGCCCCGCCGGGATGGGGGGTCCCCTGCAGCCTGTACCCCGTCCCTGGCCAGGAAGGGGGGCCTCCACAGCTGCACCCCCTGCTCCTTGGCACCCGCTGCTCCCAGCAGTCCCTGTACACCTGGGGAGACAGAGGGGGAGTCTCTTCCCGGCCACCCCCTCCTGCTCCACAGGGGGCAGAGCTTGGGGGGACCCTGGGATCCCCTTGTGAGCGAGGCAGGGGTGTCAGAGCCAGCAACTGCTCAGGTGTTTGCTCCACCTGGCTGGTGCCCAGAGCCCCTCGGGCTGCCAGCCCCCCTCTGTCCATCTGTCCATCCCCAGCCACGTGGGGTGTGTGGTGTGGGGGTCACCATTCCCAAGCTTTGCCCTCTGGAATGAGGGTGTGGGGGCTCCTCCTGCCCCTCCTCGCCGGTGCAGACTCAGCTCTGCTGTGCCCTCCCCCACAGCACTGGCTGATCCTGCTGTGGAGGCTACACAGGCTGTGCTGGCCCCGGAGCACTGGGCGGGGGGTGGGCTGGTGGGCTATGCAGGCTGTGCTGTGCTGGCCCCGGAGCACTGGGCGGGGGGTGGGCTGGGCTCTCACACCGGGGGCAGCTCTCCCGGGGCTCTGTACTGTTGGAGTGGTTGGACCGGGCTGGGTTTGGGGGGGGCTGTCCTGCTCTGGAGGCGGCCGTGCTGGGCTTGGCTCCGGTGGGACCGGCACTGCCACGCTCTGGGCTGTCCTGCTCCCGGGGCGGCAGGGTGGGGTTTGGCTCTGGTGGGACCGGCACTACCAGTATCGGAGCAGTCCTGCTCTGGGGGTGACCGTGTTGGGTTTGGCTCCTGTGGGATCAGAGCTGGCCTGCTCTGGGGGCGGCTCTGTTGGGTTTGGCTCCTGTAGGATCAGAGCTGGCCTGCTCTGGGGGTGGCTCTGTTGGGTTTGGCTCCTGTAGGATCAGGTTTGGCTCCTGTGGGATCAGAGCTGGCCTGCTCTGGGGGAGGCCCTGTTGGATTTGGCTGGTTCTGCCAGTGCTGTGAGGGCTGGTGCTGCGGGGGCCTGGGTGCGACTGTTTTTACAGCCATGACCTCAGTGCTCTTTGGAGATGCTTGGGTTCCCCTCGGCGAGGCAGGTGGGGCAGCCCAGGGGTGGCCAAGCCCAGCCCAGAGGGAGGAGAAAGAGGAGGAGGAAAGTCTGACAAAGTCCCCCCCACACCGGGTCCTTGAGGCCAAGATAGAGCGAGCGAAGGTCCCTGCGGTGCTGACACGTCCCTCCCGCAGCTGCCAGCACCGGGGCAATGCTGGCCAGGACGCGCTGCCGGGGCGGCTACTGGTGCTCGGGGTGCCCATGAGGCCAGCGGGGCACGGGCGGCTGGGCAGTGGCAGCGCCATCAGGGCGGCGGCGCAGGGACACGCTCACCATGGAATTCACCACCATCGACTACACCATCTTCGTGCTGCTGCTGGTGCTGTCGTCGGCCATCGGGCTGTTCTACGCGCTGAGCGGCGACCGGCAGCGCACGGTGCAGGAGTTCCTGTTGGCAAACCGCGACATGGGCTGCCTGCCCGTCGCCCTGTCCCTGCTGGCCACCTTCCAGTCGGCCGTGGCCATCCTGGGCGTGCCCGCTGAGATCTACCGCTTCGGCACTGAGTACTGGTTCCTCGGCTGCTCCTACTTCCTGGGGCTGCTCGTCCCAGCGCACATCTTCATCCCCGTCTTCTACCGCCTGCGCATCACCAGCACCTACGAGGTGAGCGGGGGGGCAGGGGGGGCGCAGGGGACCCCATGGCCAGGTGGGACAGTGCCCTGACCCCTCTCCCCGCAGTACCTGGAGCTGCGCTTCAACAAGACGGTGCGAGTGCTCGGCACGGTCACCTTCATCTTCCAGATGGTGAGTGGGGCTGGGGAGCGTGGGGGGCACAAGGGGCGTGGGAGCCAGGCACGGTTCAGGACCGCACTCCCCTCCCCACAGGTCATCTACATGGGCGTGGTGCTCTATGCACCCGCGCTGGCCCTCAATGCAGGTAAGGGGGGACGGGTGGGGGAGATGCTGGGAGCCTGCTTCCCCCCACCCCATTGATGGCCTCTGCCGCTTCCAGTGACGGGCTTTGACCTCTGGAGCGCAGTGCTGACCATGGGGCTGGTCTGCACCCTCTACACTACACTGGTGAGTTCCTGGTGCTGCGGGTGCCCGTGCCCCTGCCATGCTGCGGTGATGGGTGCCGTGACCCTGCAGTGACCCTGTGCCCCCACTGTGATCCTGCCATGACGGGCACGGCGTGTCCTCCAGGGCGGGCTGAAGGCTGTCATCTGGACAGACGTGTTCCAGACGCTGGTGATGCTGGCAGGCCAGCTGGCTGTCATCGTGGTGGGTGCGCAGCGCGTGGGCGGCATGGCCCGCGTCTGGCACGTGGCCGAGCAGGAGGGCAAGATCTCCGGCATCGAGTGAGTGAACTGCCAGGACCTCCGTGTCACACCGTGGGGACACATGAGGCAGCCTGGGGTGGGGGAGAGGAACGCCCACCGTGGGGGTCCATCCCCGCTGCCCCCTTTCTTGTGGGGTGCTAGTGGGGACCTGTCAGTGTGACCTCCTGGTGCTCCCCACAGCCTGGACCCCAATCCCTTGGTGCGCCACACCTTCTGGACCCTGGCTGTGGGTGGGGTGTTCATGATGCTGTCGCTGTATGGGGTGAACCAGGCGCAGGTGCAGCGCTACCTCAGCGCCCGCAGCGAGCGGGAGGCCAAGCTGTGAGTGGGGTCGGGGCTGGGGATCCCCGCGGCCGGGATGGGCCCCCTCTGCCTTCCCCATCTCTGACACCCGCCCGGTGCCTGCAGCTCCTGCTACGCCGTGTTCCCCTGCCAGCAGATCGTGCTCTGCCTCAGCTGCCTCACAGGCCTCGTCATGTTCGTCTACGACCGGGAGCACCCGCTGACCCCACGCCCCGCATCCTCTGACCAGGTGGGTGCAGACCCCCTCCCCGTGTCCCTCCCTGAGCCCCAACACCCACACTGACCCCCTGCCCCAGCTGGTGCTGTTCTTCGTGATGGATGTGCTGCGGGACCTGCCAGGGCTGCCCGGGCTCTTCGTCGCCTGCCTCTTCAGTGGCTGCCTCAGGTGAGCGGGCGGCCCTGGGGCAATGGCTCGGGGGTCCTGGCCGAGTCCCCTCCCTCTCCCTCTCCTCCACAGCACCATCTCCTCCGCCTTCAACTCACTGGCCACGGTGACCATGGAGGACCTGGTGCGCCCGCACTTCCCCGGGCTGTCGGAGTCACGGGCCACGCTGCTCTCCAAGCTGCTGGGTGAGCAGCCGGGGGGTGGCTGGGGGGGCAGGGGGCTCCCCAGCACCGCTATGACCCCCTGCTCCCCTCCCCAGCTCTCGGTTACGGGCTGCTGTGCCTGGGCATGGCGTACGTGTCCTCCATGCTGGGACCTGTGCTACAGGTAGGGATGGGGCTGTGAGACCCCCCAGCTCCAGCACCCAGAGGGGGTAAGGGATCCCCAGCTCTGGCACCCCAAACGGGGTGAGGGACCCCCAGCTCCAGCACCCCCAGGGTTGTGGGCCTAGCGCTGAGGGCTGTGTTCCTGCAGGCGGCCATCAGCATCTTCGGCATGGTGGGGGGCCCCCTCCTGGGACTCTTCTGCCTTGGCATGTTCTTCCCCTGCGCCAACCCCACGGTGAGTGTCCTCCCACCCGTGAGTGTCTCCCCCTCCCGTGAGTGTCCCTAGCCCCGTAGGGGT